TGGCTCTCAAGAATGCTCCGGGCCAGAGCCGGGGGGGGGGGTGATGAGAGCTGGGAATCGCTTTTATAGAGACGGCTTAGCGTCAGCCATCTCAAAGGCTCATAATTTGAAATTCAAAAATAAATAGGAGTTTCAATTGCTATATTTTGCCATAACAGGTTGCTATAGATGATATACTTTATTACCCGACGTTTCGGCAAGACGCCGTCTTCAGGGGCTGAAAAGGCGTCAATCACATTGATACACACGATCTCTGCCGCCAAATATCTCCACCGACTTGCCACTCGATTCGTCTTGAGTGAAGGCAGGGAGTTTGAGGGCGAAGGTTCACCCACCAAGTATATCACCGATGTTGTAGCTAACAGCCGCTTCGGGTGTGCTTGGTCGAGTGCGATGTCAAATGGGCACCCAAGCTACTGTGGGGCTGTTTAAGTAGGGCACACAATCTTATAGTTTACAGTATGACAGATACGGCATTAAGTCACTCGTGATAGATAATTTCTCATTCTTGCTGTTTAGTTTGGGCTCACGAGCAAGAATATAGGATCCTTCTAAGGCTTTTCGTGCGGAAATTTGGTGTTCGTGGGCCAAGATTATGCACCTGATATCGTAATCAACTCCGTTATGTTCGGTCATTCTATGCTTTCCCAGTGGACTAATCATGCTTTGCCTCTTTTTGCTAGCTAGATGTTCACTGATACGCACACCTAGTGGCCGGCCGGTTTCACCAATGTATATGGCAGAGCACTTCGCACACTCAATTTGATACACAACACCAGATTTCGCACAATCTCCGAATTGTCCGTATGGGCACACAACGCAGTTTCTTGTTATACAAGCTTTATCGTACAATCTATTGCGTATTAACAGCTTTCTGATGTTGTCTCGCGGGATGTTAACTAAGACGACATCTTTCTCAAGCTGTGCTTGTATCAGACACTGTTTGACTGCAGCAGTGACCCTTTCGGAGATAAAAGGCAAGCATAATGGTACTCTATTGGTAGCTTGTTCGCCTGTCTTTACAGTGTTTCTTTTCGAACATCCGTGTCGCATAACATATCCATTCGAGGCTATAATTTCGGCTGCCAGCTTCAGTGACTCCTGCCTTTCCTCATTACCGCTGCAGATCCGCGTCGCTGTTTTGATCATATTACGTACGACGGCTCGTTTGACAGCTTCTGGATGTGCGGATTTTGCGTGCAAGATGATGTTCTTATTACTGTCTTTACGAAACCACTTCACGTGAACCGTTCCATTGCTCAGCATCAGTTGTGTGTTCAAAAACGGTAGCCAACCGTCGCGCGGTTCCTCCCTCGTAAAACTTATGTATCTCGACTGTTGATTTAGTATTTGGAAACATTCGTCCATTTCGGACTTTGTCGACGTGACTATGCAACAGTCGTCGATATAACGACGATACATAAGCGGGGCTCGGGATAGCACCGGTTCTTCTACTTTGCTCATGAAGCATATTGCTAACACGGGTGCCAATCGCTGGCCCATTGCCAGTCCTCTTGTTTGTGCGTAATATTTTCCCGACCATTTGAATATATTGCAATCTAAGCATTACTTGGTGAGAGTCACGATGCGGCTTTTACTGAGACCATACGTCAACATATCTTTACAATGTAACTCTAGCATCTCAGATAAAGCTTGTAAGGCTTTGTCATTAAAAACATTAGTGTATAATGACACGACATCAAATGACTCAATTGCGCAATCGGACGTGAACTTTGTTTGACGCAAACACTCAAGGAAGTGATTAGTATTGCTCAAGTGGGCGGGAATCTTGTTAGAGCTGCTGATGATTTTGTTGAGGAACCACGATATGCGATCGGTTGGCCCGTTTACGCAACTGACGATGGGCCGTATCTTGTATGATTCAGCGGAAGTGGAGCGCATTTCGGATGTAGACAGTTTGTGCGTCTTGATTAAGCTATAGAAAACGGGGCAAGTGGGTGTTTCTATCTTGAGCCTACTGAGAAAATTTTTCAACAGCAATCAACAGCAACCCAACGATGCTTTGAGTAGACGAGTATTACCACCAGTTCCGTTTCCATCCTCGTTCTACAAAGAGCCTGAACCATATGCTGCCGCGGACATTAAGTTTCGAATACTCTCATTGAGCATTTTAAAAATTCTCAATGAAAACGAAACTATAAGAAAGTACAACTTGACACGCGCACAGCAAGAAGGCCTCAGAGAGTTGAGAGAGCTGACTAATAATGGCACCATTCGCCTATCAGTCAGTGATAAAAGCGGGGAGTTCGTTGTCATGCCACAAAACCTGGATACGCGAAATAACCGAACTGCATCTGTCAGATAAAACTGTCTACCAACCTGCAACCGAAAAAGAGTTTATCTCACAGTGTAAGCGGTTAAACCACATATGGACAATAGTAGGTAGAGAAGCTGGTCTGCATGAAAATTTCTCAGTAGGCTCAAGATAGAAACACCCACTTGCTCCGTTTTCTATAGCTTAATCAAGACGCACAAACTGTCTACATCCGAAATGCGCTCCACTTCCGCTGAATCATACAAGATACGGCCCATCGTCAGTTGCGTAAACGGGGCCAACCGATCGCATATCGTGGTTCCTCAACAAAATCATCAGCCAGCTCTTGAACAAGATTCCCGCCCACTTGAGCAATACTAATCACTTCCTTGAGTGTTTGCGTCAAACAAAGTTCACGTCCGATTGCGCAATTGAGTCATTTGATGTCGTGTCATTATACACTAATGTTTTTAATGACAAAGCCTTACAAGCTTATCTGAGATGCTAGAGTTACATTGTAAAGATATGTTGACGTATGGTCTCAGTAAAAGCCGCATCGTGACTCTCACCAAGTAATGCTTAGATTGCAATATATTCAAATGGTCGGGAAAATATTACGCACAAACAAGAGGACTGGCAATGGGCCAGCGATTGGCACCCGTGTTAGCAATATGCTTCATGAGCAAAGTAGAAGAACCGGTGCTATCCCGAGCCCCGCTTATGTATCGTCGTTATATCGACGACTGTTGCATAGTCACGTCGACAAAGTCCGAAATGGACGAATGTTTCCAAATACTAAATCAACAGTCGAGATACATAAGTTTCACGAGGGAGGAACCGCGCGACGGTTGGCTACCGTTTTTGAACACACAACTGATGCTGAGCAATGGAACGGTTCACGTGAAGTGGTTTCGTAAAGACAGTAATAGAACATCATCTTGCACGCAAAATCCGCACATCCAGAAGCTGTCAAACGAGCCGTCGTACGTAATATGATCAAAACAGCGACGCAGATCTGCAGCGGTAATGAGGAAAGGCAGGAGTCACTGAAGCTGGCAGCCGAAATTATAGCCTCGAATGGATATGTTATGCGACACGGATGTCGAAAAGAAACACTGTAAAGACAGGCGAACAAGCTACCAATAGAGTACCATTATGCTTGCCTTTTATCTCCGAAAGGGTCACTGCTGCAGTCAAACAGTGTCTGATACAAGCACAGCTTGAGAAAGATGTCGTCTTAGTTAACATCCCGCGAGACAACATCAGAAAGCTGTTAATACGCAATAGATTGTACGATAAAGCTTGTATAAACAAGAAACTGCGTTGTGTGCCCATACGGACAATTCGGAGATTGTGCGAAATCTGGTGTTGTGTATCAAATTGAGTGTGCGAAGTGCTCTACCATATACATTGGTGAAACCGGCCGGCCATCTAGGTGTGCGTATCAGTGAACATCTAGCTAGCAAAAAGAGGCAAAGCATGATTAGTCCACTGGGAAAGCATAGAATGACCGAACATAACGGAGTTGATTACGATATCAGGTGCATAATCTTGGCCCACGAACACCAAATTTCCGCACGAAAAGCCTTAGAGGATCCTATATTCTTGCTCGTGAGCCCAAACTAAACAGCAAGAATGAGAAATTATCTATCACGAGTGACTTAATGCCGTATCTGTCATACTGTAAACTATAAGATTGTGTGCCCTACTTAAACAGCCCCACAGTAGCTTGGGTGCCCCATTTGACATCGCACTCGACCAAGCACACCCGAAGCGGCTGTTAGCTACAACATCGGTGATATACTTGGTGGGTGAACCTTCGCCCTCAAACTCCCTGCCCTTCACTCAAGACGAATCGAGTGGCAAGTCGGTGGAGATATTTGGCGGCAGAGATCGTGTGTATCAATGTGATTGACGCCTTTTCAGCCCCTGAAGACGGCGTCTTGCCGAAACGTCGGGTAATAAAGTATATCATCTATAGCAACCTGTTACGGCAAAATATAGCAATTGAAATTAATTCATCCTCAAGAACATGCCGAGGTTCAAAGATAAGAGGACTTACAACATAAATAGGAGTTATCTTTCAAAAGGATTTCGTTTCTGCTAAGCTGTTCTGATTCTATAAAGAATTCAGAAATCATTCCAGATTTATACCATCAACGTTGCCTCCTCATTTATCTAACCTCGAGTCATTTGTAACTTAATATGTGAAATTGCACACTAAGCCCTGTTAGTGACGGCACCAATACTAGTAACTTCCCAGTAAAACATTTTCTAGCCTCACAAAATGTAGAAATGTGTTCTATTGACTTACATATAACCAACTAAAACAAAAGAAGCAAGAAACAAAAAGAAATCACTGGAAATGAGCAGATTCTAGTTTCGCAGTTCGTCAGTTAACGTGTAAAGTGTGCACTACGTATATTAAGTTACGAATGACTCGACTATTTCATTTGTAGTTTCAATAGTTCTGCTTTTCAATAATTCCGCGACATATTCTTGAAGGGGGGGGAGGGGGGGGGGGGGGAAGGGCCGGAATGAGAGAACCCAACTATTTCTTGTATCCGCCATAGCCTTCATGACATTATTTTGTTCTGTAGATCCGTAGCTAAATAAGGAGGGGATAGAGAAAATGAATGCAGTATAGCTTAGTTATAGGAGCAGTATCACAAGAAACTATGGGTAGAAACTCCTAAGTTTCACAATTTGATAGCTTATTTTACAGAACACAAGGCTCATCGAAGGTTCACAACTAATGAAAGGATGGTCGCAACCTGCCTATGATCTTTTATTCAAGGTAAGTTAATTCTAATTATTTAATTGTGAATGTGTGCTGAAATACCCAAATCAAGATTTGATCTTTTGGTCTTTGGTCTTTTCGCCGAGTACTGTTGCATATCCAGACTCCATATTGATTTTCCTCTTGCTTCTAATTTGATTCCTTCGGAAATCTTTTTCTCATAGCTTCTTCAAAACTGCAAATCGAAAATTTTGCGCCTATAGTCTCGGGGGTGGGGATTTCATAATATTGGGTCGTTTCCGAACGTAATGTCGCTTTTTTTTTCAAATGAACACCACAGTTAATAGAACAAAGATTTCTAAAGTTTTTGGTGGGATTCGATGCATTATTTTCATCTTCTTAAAAACAGTTATAAAATCATTGCAGCACAATCACTGAGCTCTCGGAAAATCCGCGACCCATGCTTTTGAGATGGTCAAGTCCAAGTAACGATTTGATAGAGCTAACCTTAGGGACACCGTACACCTTTTTCTCTCTTTGAAATACAGCCATAATTTTTCAAACGTTTTTTCAACAAAGCCATCGGATTTTGGCAGGCCTACGTCAGTCCATTACATCAAAAGCCAATAATTTTTCGGAATTTAGAACTTGCAAAGGAATTTAACACTGATTTTACATAGCAAATGAGAGTTTGCAGGTTCAAATATCAAATTTCGATTTTTTCGCTTACAACATGGGGCGCATTCAAAAACATGAGTTATGATGATTTTGTCCCCGGAGACTCCACGAATCGGAAACAGTAAACATCCGTTAGAAAGAGGAGAAAAGCTGCATCGAACAGCACCCGAGCTGCTCTCCTTTTGATGTTGGAGGTTTTAATTAACCAAGTAAGGAAATTGGTAGCATCAATTAACAATTTTTAGAAGAGTACGACAAACTGTGGAAAGGAGAAGAGATTGTTCTGCATCCTGTTGGAATTGCCCTTGGACTCCCTCGGAGGGTTGATATAAAAGTTCAGAAAAATTACGAAACTTGCCCATCTCAAAAAGCATGGGTTGCCGATTTTGGTTATTTTTCGAGAGCTCACTGAATTGCTGCAACAATTTTATAACCATTAGAAAGCAGATGAAATGCTGCCCGAACGCCCCCGAGGACTAAAATCTTTGTTCCACGAACAGTGGTGTTCATTTGAAAAAAGCGACATTACTTTCGGAACGACCTAATATTTGGCTTCTTGTAAATGTACAACTCTCTTCTCTTTGTGCAACTCGGAGACATCTTTGTAAATCTTTTTTTGTTTACCCCTCTTTGTTTCGAGTTCGGTTTGATTTGGTTCCCCCTATCATAGCAACTTCGGCGAAGCAATTCTGCCTTTACTTTCCCAGTTTTTTAGTGCTTAATATCAAGAATGTGCCTCTATGAACAGGTAAAAGAAGTTGGTATGGAAAAACCATAAATTTAGAATTCAGAATTCTAGTGTACTCAGTTTTTGAGGACCTTCGCATTATAGTGGGGTTTTTCAAGCTTATCATCATGCAATTACTCAATCATTCTTCCCTCATTAACTGACTTAACTTTTCTAAAAATTGTTCATTGTGACATTTTCCAAATTATAATGAGCTCAGGTGATTATATCAAAGAGGAATATGCCTAGACTTAAGTACCTATATTTTATGGTGGTACGGCACTGGCGCAGACAGCTCAAGGCGCATCCTCGGAAACTTTCTTTGTTTTTGGGATTTGTTCGGACTAAGGTTCGGATTATTCTCTACCCTCCTTCTCATTTTCTGCACCCAAATGGATGAGCTATACGTTCTTGAAGAATAATTAGTGCACATTGCTTACATTATTTACTGACCGTAATGAACAGAGATTTGTTCTCTTGCAGTTTAAGAGTAAAGAGTTTGGTCTATGAGAAATATTTAGGTTTACGTGCATTCGATCAAAAATCCCAGAATGCATGTCTGGCATGATTCGCTTTCGTTGAAGGTATAACGACGTGAACCGTTTTGAATTTCACAACACCATCTTTATGCGAGAGTACCTACAGTACACTGATTTTCCGAGCTAATAGACAAGCGCTTGATAGCTACTGCAGTACCTTGTTTGTAACTGTTTTACTAAACGTATAGGGTCCAGATTCGTTAACCTCGGGTACAGCTCCCTCCATAATTTCGTCTGGGTTTTTGATCGAATGCACGTAAACCTAAATATTCTCATAGACCAAACTCTTTACTCTTAAACTGCAAGAGAACAAATCTCTGTTCATTACGGTCAGTAAATAATGTAAGCAATGTGCACTAATTATTCTTCAAGAACGTATAGCTCATCCATTTGGGTGCAGAAAATGAGAAGGAGGGTAGAGAATAATCCGAACCTTAGTCCGAACAAATCCCAAAAACAAAGAAAGTTTCCGAGGATGCGCCTTGAGCTGTCTGCGCCAGTGCCGGTACCACCATAAAATATAGGTACTTAAGTCCTAGGCATATTCCTCTTTGATATAATTCACCTGAGCTCATTATAATTTGGAAAATGTCACAATGAACATTTTTAGAAATAGTTAAGTCAGTTAATGAGGGAAGAATGATTGAGTAATTGCATGATGATAAGCTTGAAAAACCCCACTATAATGCGAAGGTCCTCAAAAACTGAGTACACTAGAATTCTGAATTCTAATTTATGGTTTTTCCATACCAACTTCTTTACCTGTTCATAGAGGCACATTCTTGATATTAAGCACTAAAAAACTGGGAAAGTAAAGGCAGAATTGCTTCGCCGAAGTTGCTATGATAGGGGGAACCAAATCAAACCGAACTCGAAACAAAGAGGGGTAAACAAAAAAAGATTTACAAAGATGTCTCCGAGTTGCACAAAGAGAAGAGAGTTGTACATTTTACAAGAAGCCAAATATTAGGTCGTTCCGAAAGTAATGTCGCTTTTTTCAAATGAACACCACTGTTCGTGGAACAAAGATTTTAGTCCTCGGGGGCGTTCGGGCAGCATTTCATCTGCTTTCTAATGGTTATAAAATTGTTGCAGCAATTCAGTGAGCTCTCGAAAAATAACCAAAATCGGCAACCCATGCTTTTTGAGATGGGCAAGTTTCGTAATTTTTCTGAACTTTTATATCAACCCTCCGAGGGAGTCCAAGGGCAATTCCAACAGGATGCAGAACAATCTCTTCTCCTTTCCACAGTTTGTCGTACTCTTCTAAAAATTGTTAATTGATGCTACCAATTTCCTTACTTGGTTAATTAAAACCTCCAACATCAAAAGGGAGAGCAGCTCGGGTGCTGTTCGATGCAGCTTTTTCTCCTCTTTCTAACGGATGTTTACTGTTTCCGAGTCGTGGAGTCTCCGGGGACAAAATCATCATAACTCATGTTTTTGAATGCGCCCCATGTTGTAAGCGAAAAAAATCGAAATTTGATATTTTGAACCTGCAAACTCTCATTTGCTATGTAAAATCAGTGTTAAATTCCTTTGCAAGTTCTAAATTCCGAAAAAATTATTGGCTTTTGATGTAATGACTGACGTAGGCCTGCCAAAATCCGATGGCTTTGTTGAAAAAACGTTTGAAAAATTATGGCTGTATTTCAAAGAGAGAAAAAGGTGTACGGGTGTCCCTAAGGTTAGCTCTATCAAATCGTTACTTGGACTTGACCATCTCAAAAAGCATGGGTCGCGGATTTTTCCGAGAGCTCAGTGATTGTGCTGCAATGATTTTATAACTGTTTTTAAGAAGATGAAATAATGCATCGAATCCCACCAAAAACTTTAGAAATCTTTGTTCTATTAACTGTGGTGTTCATTTGAAAAAAAAAGCGACATTACGTTCGGAACGACCCAATATTATGAAATCCCCACACCCGAGACTATAGGCGCAAAATTTTCGATTTGCAGTTTTGAAGAAGCTATGAGAAAAAGATTTCCGAAGGAATCAAATTAGAAGCAAGAGGAAAATCAATATGGAGTCTGGATATGCAACAGTACTCGGCGAAAAGACCAAAGACCAAAAAGATCAAATCTTGATTTGGGTATTTCAGCACACATTCACAATTAAATAATTAGAATTAACTTACCTTGAATAAAAGATCATAGGCAGGTTGCGACCATCCTTTCATTAGTTGTGAACCTTCGATGAGCCTTGTGTTCTGTAAAATAAGCTATCAAATTGTGAAACCTTAGGAGTTTCTACCCATAGTTTCTTGTGATACTGCTCCTATAACTAAGCTATACTGCATTCATTTTCTCTATCCCCTCCTTATTTAGCTACGGATCTACAGAACAAAATAATGTCATGAAGGCTATGGCGGATACAAGAAATAGTTGGGTTCTCTCATTCCGGCCCTTCCCCCCCCCCCCCCTCCCCCCTTCAAGAATATGTCGCGGAATTATTGAAAAGCAGAACTATTGAAACTACAAATGAAATAGTCGAGTCATTCGTAACTTAATATACGTAGTGCACACTTTACACGTTAACTGACGAACTGCGAAACTAGAATCTGCTCATTTCCAGTGATTTCTTTTTGTTTCCTTGCTTCTTTTGTTTTAGTTGGTTATATGTAAGTCAATAGAACACATTTCTACATTTTGTGAGGCTAGAAAATGTTTTACTGGGAAGTTACTAGTATGGGTGCCGTCACTAACAGGGCTTAGTGTGCAATTTCACATATTAAGTTACAAATGACTCGAGGTTAGATAAATGAGGAGGCAACGTTGATGGTATAAATCTGGAATGATTTCTGAATTCTTTATAGAATCAGAACAGCTTAGCAGAAACGAAATCCTTTTGAAAGATAACTCCTATTTATGTTGTAAGTCCTCTTATCTTTGAACCTCGGCATGTTCTTGAGGATGAATAATTTCAATTGCTATATTTTGCCGTAACAGGTTGCTATAGATGATATACTTTATTACCCGACGTTTCGGCAAGACGCCGTCTTCAGGGGCTGAAAAGGCGTCAATCACATTGATACACACGATCTCTGCCGCCAAATATCTCCACCGACTTGCCACTCGATTCGTCTTGAGTGAAGGCAGGGAGTTTGAGGGCGAAGGTTCACCCACCAAGTATATCACCGATGTTGTAGCTAACAGCCGCTTCGGGTGTGCTTGGTCGAGTGCGATGTCAAATGGGCACCCAAGCTACTGTGGGGCTGTTTAAGTAGGGCACACAATCTTATAGTTTACAGTATGACAGATACGGCATTAAGTCACTCGTGATAGATAATTTCTCATTCTTGCTGTTTAGTTTGGGCTCACGAGCAGAATATAGGATCCTTCTAAGGCTTTTCGTGCGGAAATTTGTGTTCGTGGGCCAAGATTATGCACCTGATATCGTAATCAACTCCGTTATGTTCGGTCATTCTATGCTTTCCCAGTGGACTAATCATGCTTTGCCTCTTTTTGCTAGCTAGATGTTCACTGATACGCACACCTAGTGGCCGGCCGGTTTCACCAATGTATATGGTAGAGCACTTCGCACACTCAATTTGATACACAACACCAGATTTCGCACAATCTCCGAATTGTCCGTATGGGCACACAACGCAGTTTCTTGTTATACAAGCTTTATCGTACAATCTATTGCGTATTAACAGCTTTCTGATGTTGTCTCGCGGGATGTTAACTAAGACGACATCTTTCTCAAGCTGTGCTTGTATCAGACACTGTTTGACTGCAGCAGTGACCCTTTCGGAGATAAAAGGCAAGCATAATGGTACTCTATTGGTAGCTTGTTCGCCTGTCTTTACAGTGTTTCTTTTCGAACATCCGTGTCGCATAACATATCCATTCGAGGCTATAATTCGGCTGCCAGCTTCAGTGACTCCTGCCTTTCCTCATTACCGCTGCAGATCTGCGTCGCTGTTTTGATCATATTACGTACGACGGCTCGTTTGACAGCTTCTGGATGTGCGGATTTTGCGTGCAAGATGATGTTCTTATTACTGTCTTTACGAAACCACTTCACGTGAACCGTTCCATTGCTCAGCATCAGTTGTGTGTTCAAAACGGTAGCCAACCGTCGCGCGGTTCCTCCCTCGTGAAACTTATGTATCTCGACTGTTGATTTAGTATTTGGAAACATTCGTCCATTTCGGACTTTGTCGACGTGACTATGCAACAGTCGTCGATATAACGACGATACATAAGCGGGGCTCGGGATAGCACCGGTTCTTCTACTTTGCTCATGAAGCATATTGCTAACACGGGTGCCAATCGCTGGCCCATTGCCAGTCCTCTTGTTTGTGCGTAATATTTTCCCGACCATTTGATATATTGCAATCTAAGCATTACTTGGTGAGAGTCACGATGCGGCTTTTACTGAGACCATACGTCAACATATCTTTACAATGTAACTCTAGCATCTCAGATAAAGCTTGTAAGGCTTTGTCATTAAAAACATTAGTGTATAATGACACGACATCAAATGACTCAATTGCGCAATCGGACGTGAACTTTGTTTGACGCAAACACTCAAGGAAGTG